ACACATTCTCCTTCACCTCATTTTTTCCAGTTACTGTAGCTTGGATTATTTCTTATTAGTGCATAAGGAATATTCTTGTTTATACAGATGCATAAATTTGTTATGTGATGTCTCAGTCTGAGCTGTTACAACAAAATACATCAGACTGGATAATTTATGCACCTGCCTTTTTGTTTGTTTGTTTGTTTTGAAACAAGGTCTTTACTGTATAGTTCAAGCTGGCCTCGAGCTTACTATGTAGGACAGGCTGGCCTCTAACTCTTGGCAGTCCTCTTGTCTCAGCCTCTCAAGTGAAAGGAGTGAGTGTGCCACCACACCCCGTTCCATACTGGTAATTTATAAAGAACAGAAATTTACATCTCATAGTTCTGGAAGCTGAAAAGTTGAACATGAGGGCATTTGCAGGTTTGGTATCTGGTCATGGCCAAGTCTCCTTCCAGTGTCTTAAGTGCTGCTTTCTCTGGCAGGGTGAATACTGTGTCCTCATTTGGTGAAAGGCAAAAGGAGTGGACAGCTCCCTTGCACCTCTTCTGTGAGGTCTTTAATTCACGAATACTGTGACACATATAAGTGTATATTATAGAGCCAGACCTGGACTTAAAACTCCAGCTCTGAAGGTTTAACAAACCTTGGGCAAAGAACTGTTTTCTTTCTTTTTCCCTAAAGTGAAAATCATAACATTGGAAAATTAAATGAGGAAAAAATCCTTAGCACAATGACTAGCATGTAACAAGCATTCAGATGTTAGCTAAAAAATAGTAACCAGATATTATTGCAACTGACTGTTGATTTTTCTGCCTTGACTCTAGGTTAATAACTGTGTCATGTTCACTTTTGTATTCCCATGCTTAGCATACACTCTGTAAATCCTTTGAGATGATGTAAAGGTATGTAGGGTATATGATGGGGATGGGATAGAGAGTCAGGATAGCTTTTCCCGACTGATGAAGGGGAAATCCTTACAGGTTTGTGGTTGTGATTAGGTAGAGGAAGATGAGGAAGGTTTTTCTAGACTGAAAAACTGTGTTAATGTCAGGTTGTAAGGGTAGGGGTTGGAAACTTATACCTCTTGTGCTGTGCTGAGGTATAAAAAAATTGTTTTTAAATAACCTTTTTAAAGAAGATGAGTTGTAATCACGAGACCCATCATGGTAATTGTTGCTAGGGGATTGACTAAGATACCAAGATAGGACCATTGAGTTGAATGAAGTTCTAGAGCAGTTCCCAGACTAAAAGATGGACAGAAGTAGAATGAGAACAGTTGCATAGATATGGGTGGTGAGTAATGAATCCAGAATATATGAGCTTTTTAGTTGAATGAATAGGTGGATGAACAGGCACCAGTGAATCTCAGTATGAAAGGCATTGGCTTCAGTCCCCAGTACTGTAGTCAGTCAGTCAATCAGTCAGTAAATTGAGAGGACCAGGGGTCATCTAAGGATAGAAAAAAAAAATTAAGATTATTGCAGTGTATTAGTGTTCTTTGAAACTTCTTGTCCTTCAGAGTCAGACTAAGATCACCAATTATTGGGTCGTGCTAAAATTTTATTTAGAATTTTAGCTGGTATATTTCACAGCAGCAGTTGTTTCAAACTAAGGGTCAGGGTAGTGTTTCTTTGCATGACTGACATTTTGTATCCTTATATATACAAATTATTTTTGTAATTATAATCAGTTATTTTTGAGGAGGATTTTAGTATGTACTGTCAGGTTTAGAAAACACTATAAATATTTTGAGTGAGATTATTATTTGTGTAAGAGGAGGCAAACTCCTTTTCCTTTTTTTTTGTACCTGGGATTGAACTTGGGACCTTGTGCTTGCAAGGCAGGCAGTGGAACCACTGAGCTAAATCCTTGGCTCCCTGCAAAAACTTCTTTTGTGATTTTATTTTAGTGCTGTTTAAATTATTATTTAAAAAATAACCAGGGTACTGTCTCATTTGCTACACAGAGAGAGTTCTGTGATGGAAGGTCATGTATACAAAGAAAAATTCTCCCATAACACTTTAAAACATCAACATTTTAAACCAGCTTAAACAGTAATCTTAGAAATTTAACAAATATCCTTATTTTTATGAGGAACTTAAATTGACCAGGGAGCGGGGCAGCCCATTAGATTATTTCAGCCATTGCAGGTTAATTTGTGTTCTTTCTTAATTGCATGCATGTTTTCATGGTTGTAATTAGTAGTATATTAGTTAGGGATTCTAAATTCTGGTTGGGTATTGGAAACATTTCTAGTGCTTAACACACTTGAGAGCTCATTAATTCCCTAGGTGGGAGGTGGGGGCCAGAAATTTACATTTTAAGAATTTGAAGTAATTCTGACCAACAGCCAGAGTTGAGAATTTCTCACATATATTATAATATGAGGGAATACATTTAAAAATATCCTGCAAACTTAATTTTTTCATAGAAAAACAAGGTAGATGCCTAATATTTCATGTGGCTTTTTGTGTATTAAGCTATATGCAGGTTATTATAAATTGTATACAATAATAGTGTATAAATGTATATGGTATTCCATTGCTATAACTTGTTTAGCAGTTTTATCATTTCTATGTGCTTCATGGTTTAAGTATTTCAGAATTAGAAGTAGCATTGTAAAGTGTGTCTGTAACAAACCTCTTTTCCCTTCCCTATTTATTTCCCTGGGATGTTTGTTAATTTAATACTTTAAGCTTGTTTTAATTTACATTTCTTGTATTACTGGGGAGAAATGTTTGTTATGTATAAACTGATTAGCTTTCATGCTTTCAGTAGAATATACTGAACTTTTAAATATCACAGAAATATTTGACTTTGTGCCATGATTTATATGATGGGGTTATTATAAGCAATATTTTTTAAAAAGATCTGTATATAGCTTTTTACATTTTTCTGCCCTGTGGATATATCTTCCTTCTACTGTCCTTAAGTTTGTAGATACCCAGTTTGCTATTGCAAGTCTGTGTTTTAGTTGCTCAGTTTTTCAATTCATGGTTATATCTTTTTTATTCTTCCGGTACCAGAAATTGAACTCAGGACCTTGTGCTTACAAGGCAGGCACAGCACCACTGAGTTAAATCCCTGGCCTGGTTGTATCTTTGTTGAAAGTTGTGATCTGTTAGGATTGAGCTAAATTTGTATGTCTGGTCCCCAGCTATACTCTGATTTGCTGGGTGAATGGGATGTCAGTTTCAGGAGGAATAGTTACTGTTCTGTAGCTGTATAAAATGATGTGCAAGTAAAAACAACTACCAAAAAATATGGAGGCCATTATATAATTTGCAAAGGCTTGGATGCTCAGAGGACAACTTGTAGTGTGGTAGCTTTCTTCCTTTTTGTTTTGGTACTGGGAATCAACTCAGAACCTTGTGCTTGCCCTGCAGGTGTGGTACTGCTGAGCTACATCCCAGGTCCATTGTGGTAGCTTTCTTATTTTGGGGAAAGGCAGATTGAGTTCTGTACTTTATGTTTAATGATTGGAGAAGTAAGAACTTGGTACAGATGGATGCAATTAATGATGCTGTAAAGAACTGTAGTCTGTCTGGAGGTTTGTATTAGAATGTAAAAGTGCAATATATAACAATGAGATTAGGGTCATGACTAATTCATCTGTAAGTCAAAAAAGATAACTGGAGTGATTTAGTTGTCAAATAGACCTACAAAAACTCTTACTTTTGTGTTAGAGCATAGTGTTGTAAAGTGAGAAAGATAATTATGTATTTGTAGTAGATCCTTTTTTGGAATTATAGTTGGTTTTGTTTGTTTGTTTGTTTGTTTGTTTTGAGTCAGGAGCTTGTGTGTCTTGAACTTACTGTGTAGGCCAGGCTGGCCTTGAACCCTCAGCAGTCCTCCTTCCTCAGCCTCCAGAGTGCTGAGATGCTGAGATTCTGAATGAGCACTGCCATGCCCACTTGGCTGGAATAATTTTAGATTTACTGAAAAGTTGCAGCCCTTCTCTTTATGAGAGTTAAATAATTGGTTGACATGGAAGAAATGCAGAAATAATGCCACAAACATGAGGTAAAAGCACTATCTACAGTAGTAATGACCAAGATTAAGGGAAATGTCAAATAAGGAATTTCATGACCAGAGTGTCTTTTGCTTGGGTGTGTACTGGATGCTTTTGAGTAGGGCTTGGAGGTTACAATGTTTTTTTAATTGAAGGGTGGGAATTTAAGTATAGATGGTCACTAGTGGGTTCCATTTATCAAATTAGAATCTAGCCAAGATGAACAAAGGGCTCTCTTTCCATACTGGTTGTATTGTGTGCAGTTTCTTCTTCATTTAATAAAAACACCATTTCTTGGACTTTACCAAGTTTTTTTTGTTTGTTTGTTTGTTTTGTATTTTGAGCTAAGGCCTCACTCTGTAATTCAGGCTGGCTTTGAACTCCCTGTATAGCCCATGGTGGCCTCCATTTTAAGGCAATTCTCCTGTCTCAGCCACCCAAGTTCTGGGATTACAGGCATATACCACCATGCCCAGCTTCAGCAAAATTTTAACTTTCTACTTCTAGGCTAGGGTCCATATATGTGTTTTTATCAAAAATTTCCCATGTATTTCAGATTTCAGCCATGATTGGGAATCACTTATTTGCAAGATAAAAGTCTAGAGGCCTTAATAATAGCTATCATCTTTTACACAGCCACTATAACATCTGTCATTTATTTGTACTTTTTGTGAATTGTCATACTCTTCGTTATTTCGTATATTATTATTACCTATTATTTCATAGTAACTTCATAAGGATACTGTCTAAGGCTCAGGAAGGTTAATTTACCCATCAGAGCACAGATCTTAGTTTTAGCAATACTGAAATTTGCATTTCTAGCTATACTTATAGTGCCTTCTGATTCTCTTATATATTCTTTAAAAATTTACAGGCAGTCTTCTTAGGGCCTTCTTGATTTGGCCCTTTCCTTTTACTCTGACTGGATAATATTTAGCATTCTTGTCTTTGCCTCTGCTGTTTTTACCCACCCAGCATTCCTTAAGGAGGGCCCAGCTGAAAACTACCTATTTGGGGAAACTTTTTCCAGCTGTTTAAGACTTTGATGATCTTTCCTTCAACTTGGACTCCTATAAGACTACTCTTTTAGCAGGTAACAGCGTAGATGGACCTTTAGTTTTATATGCATTATGTGTTATTTATGTTTAATGTTAATAGGTATTCGTTGGTAGAATAGTATTGCAATATTTTGATAAGTAGTTTGCTTTTTTGAGCTCCTATTACTTCTGTTTTTATTGTATGTGATACTGATTCTGTACAGAATGTTCTTTTTACAATAAAATATAAGTGGAAGACCTGGGTAAAATTAGAATTTGCTGCTTTGAGGTATCAGATTATTTTGATTGACTCAGTAGCTTAACAAAGCAGGCTTTTCACTTCTTTGATTATAAATTTATAATTAGAAATATCACACTTTATTAAAATTTAAATATTAACATAATATGGTTTGTGCCCTTTTTTTTTTTCTTTTGGCATTGTGGGGATTGAACCCAGGGCCTTTGCATTGAACTACATCCCCAGTTCTTTTTTAAAATTTTTAAGACAGAGTCTTTCTAATTTGCCTATTTTAGGATTGAGTTTGTGATTCTCCTGCTTCAGTCTCCCACAATGCTGGGATTACAGTACTGTGCTGCTATACCTGACTCTCTTACTACTCCTATAACGTTGCCGGTTTTGGTGGTTTAGGGCCCCACCTATGAGATAATTTAATTTAATTACCTCCTATAAGGTCCTAACTCCAATACCATCCAGTCATAGTAAGGGTGAAGTTTTAACTTGTGAATTTTGAGGAGACACAATTCCAGTCCATACGAGTGATCATATTTCTGTTTTTCTGTAGGGAATTATAATATAGGGAAGCAATACAAAATTTTGAAATAATAGGTAATATTATTTTATATTGATTTTATTAGGCAGGTAATGCTAAGATGATATCAGCTAAGTATTTTATAGGCTATAGGATTTGATAGGAAATGTTTGTTTTTTTGTTTTTTGGTACTGGGGATCAAACTTGGGTCCTTGTGAGGCAGGCAGCAGCACACTGAGCTAAATCCCCAGCCCAGGAAATGGTTTTGATATCTTTAAGAAGCTAATTTGAGAGAGCAATTAGGTACTGGAAATAACTTGAATTCTCTTATGAAGTTGCTGTGTTCTGTTCAAAATACTACAGTAAAAAAAGTACGTACGTCATGAGGGCACAGGGTACATTAGTGACTGATTAAAATGGAGTAAAGTTAATTTTCAAAATTTTGAGTGTATCCTTAATACTTCTTTGCTTCTAATATTTCCCTGAGATCTCAGGATTGGAAGATGTGCTAAGCCCGTTGGTCAAATTGTGTTCTCCTTCCTGCTGTACTGTAATCTACCTGCCGTGTGGTTGATTGTCCAGTGTGGTAGTTACCAGCATGTGTGGCTCTTGAATATTTTTCATGAGGCCAGTATGAATTGAGGTGTGGATCATCATTTGGATATTTTCCATATAAAATAACTTCCCTGTTGAAATAATATTTTGAATATATTGAGTTAAAGAAAAATATGATTTTTTTTTAACAAGGCGACTAGAAAATTTTAAGTCTCATATGTGTCTTGCATTATATTTCTAATGGATGTTGCTGGTCTCACATGTAGTAGAAACCCACTGGCTACTGAGGAATCACACAGTTCATTCTTGAATACTTGTCACTTTTTTGCTCCCTGTTTACCCCTGGAGGCGAAAATAAGGTTTAGTCTTCCTTAATGCTCTAATAGTTTTTGTTTGTTTGTTTGTTTGTTTGTTTGTTTTTGGTACCAGGGATCAAACTTGGGCCCTTGAGCTAGCACAGCAGGCAGCAGAACCACTGAGCCAAATCCCTGGCCCAATGCTGTAATAGTTTGAAGAGAGCTCTTTATGGAAGAGTAACCTTTTTCATCTCCTTTAGTAATATTTATATGCCAGAGACTAATATTCCTCTCATGCCCTTCTGAATGAACTTTATTTTGTACATATTCCCACTGATATCGAGTACTGAGTATCTTGTGGTCTTTTAATTGCATGTCTTATCTTTTGTCAGGTTCTACATGCTATGCAGATCAGCTAACGAAGCCTAAAGTAAAATTGACTTTTAGGGGAAGCCTTTTTTTCTTTTAGACTTTTGGAGCATATTGTTAAGTAAGATGTTTTCACTTTTTCTTTTTGTGTAGTCAATGTTTTGTCTTTCTTATTCTAAACTTTTTCAGTTAGAGGAACATACTGATTTTTTTTTTTTTTTTTTTTTTTTTTTGGTACCGGGGATTGAACTCGGGTCCTTGCAAGGCAGCCCACCAAACTGCTGAGCTAAATCCCTGGCCCGGAACATATTGATTGAGTAGGTCTTGTTACAGTTCTGACTCTCTCTAAAACTTTCCTTCAAATTCCAGTTTGGGGTAAGGGTGGCGTTTGGGGAAAGTGCATTGTTTGGATACACATATTTCCAGATTAAATTTTATTTGGATTCTGAGTGTATCTTATAAAGCATTTATTATCTTTCTCAGCCTGTAGCATTTGTAGGTTTGATGTGTACCTTCTGTGTTTTCATCATATTACTGAGTTACGTTATTTTCGATTAACTGAGGAAATAAGGTTTCTGAGGACCCTATAGTATATAATTCTGCTGCAATTCATGTGCAATTTAGCAGTTATTGGTTCACATAATTTACATGTCAATATTCCAGCCTTTGTTTTTCTGCTTTGGCCAAACTTACATCATAATTGAGATCTTGTCAGAATTATCTCCTACAATTTCTTCCTTTGCATTCTAGTAAACTTGTCAAAAATAAAAAATAAAGAGGATCAAACTTAACCTGTTGAAAAGTAAACCTCTACTGACTTTTTTTTAAATTTTCTTTTTATTGAGTTAATTGGTACAATCTAGGTATACAATACAGTTACATTCATCATTGGGATCTTGTACCTCTACATAATAGGTCTTGATTCTCATTTTTTCCCCTTGTCCCTGCTCTCCCTTCACCCCCTCCTCCCCTCCCCATTTACAAACACTTTATTTCCATTTTTTTCAGTTTCTCATATTTTTTTCCTCTCCCTTATTACCTTTCCCCCACCATTCCCACTTTCCCTACACCTTTAGCCCTTTACTTCCTATTTCACATTATTAATTATCTCATTAGGATCCTGTGTACTATTACAGTTTTTCACACCAGAGAAACTATTCGGTATTTCAGTTAAAGAAATCTCTGTATGAACATTAAAAATAGGGAATCCTAAAATTCTACTGACTTTTGATGTATATGACTTCATTTTTTTTCTGTATGCTTTTTTAAAAAATGGAAATACTTCAGATTCCTTAATAATTTGAGAAATGGAAAGTAGGAATCTTACTTGCTCCAACCCAGTTAGCAAAACATAGCCATTGTTAAAACTTAGAAAGTATTTTCTCTCTGACTTTTTTCTTTTTGAACTTTAAAATATATATATAATAATAGTGGTTCATGATTTCATTTCTCTTTGGTAAATATTTGGTTTAAGCCATATGATACTTATATGATACACACACACACACACACACACACACACACACACAGGTATATGTTTAACTTTTTTTAAAAAAGGGCTGGGAATTGCGCTGAGTGGTGCCACGGTCTGCCTTGTAAGCCTAAGGTCCTAAGGTCCATCCCCAGTACCAAAAAAAAAGAAAGAAAGAAAGAAAGAAAAATTGCAGTATTTTCCCAATGTATTAGTAACATTTCACATTCTCATCAGCAGTGTATAAGAATTCTAGTTGTTCCACATATTCAACACTTGGAAATGGCTTCATTAATTTTATAACTCTAGTAGATTTGTAGAGGTTAACCCATTTTGGTTTTGTTTTTTTTTTTTTAAGTTTTTTGAGTCAGGGTCTCACTATGTAGTTGAGACTGAACTGGAACTCACTGCGTAGCCCAGGCTGGTCTCGGACTTGCAGCGATCCTCCTGCCTCAGCCTCCCTAGTGCTGGGATTACAGGCATGTGCCACCATGCCCGGCTCAAGGTTAACCCATTTTGATTTTAATTTTTATTTTCCTTTTGACAAATAACGTTGAGTGTCTTCTGGACTTATTTGCCATCCATAGTTCTTCTTTGGTGGTCTTTTACAATTTTGGTTTATTTTTTAAATTAGTTATTTTTACAGAGTGGTTGGAGTTCTTTATATATTTTAGGTATTAGTCCTTTGTTGAGCCATGGAAATACCTTATTTCTCTTTATACTTTTACGCTCCAATTTCACCCTCTGTCAGTGATTCTTGCCTGCAGCAATTATTGTGTTGTTTATCTTAAAATGATTTTATGTTTGTGTTATGCTACTCCAGTCTGGCACTGGGAATTGAACCCTGGCCTCCCTGAGCTGCGTCCCCAGCCTTTTCTTATTTTTGAGACAGGGTCTTGCCGAATCACCAAGTTGCCCAGGCTGGACTCAAACTTGTGATCCTCCACTTCAGACTCCTAATGAGCTGGATTTAAAGGCATGCACCACCACACCCAGCTTCCTTCATTCTGTGTTTTGAGACTGAGTTTCTGCAGTGTTGTTCAGGCTGGCCTTGAACTCACTGTGTAGTATCAGCTGGCCTCACACTTGACTGAGATATTCGTGCTTCAGCCTCTTTAATGCTAGGATTACAGAGGTGTGTCACTGTGCTCCATCCTTCATTCTTTAATGTGGTTATCCAGAGTTCCAGCACTTTTTGTTGAAAAGACTAGTCTTTTTTATTGTGTTGTCTTAGAAATCTTGTGGGGAAACAATTGACTATAAACATAAGGGCTTACTTCTGAATGTTCAGTTGTATTCTATACTATTTTTTTTCATTAAGTTTATTGGTACATTTTTAGTTATGCAGTACAGTTACATTCATCATTGGGAACTTGTACTTTATTTTTTCCCCATTCCCCTGCCCTCCCTTCAACCCCTCCACCCCTTCCTATTTACAAAGACCTTGTCTCCATTTCTTTCCTTTTCTCATATTTTTTCCTTTCCCTTCTTTCATTTCCCCTACCCCTCCCACTTCCCCTACCCCTTTAGATCTTTTCTTCCTATTTCATATTATCAATTACACATTTTGATCCTTATTTACAATTTCAGTTTCTCACACCAGAGAAACTTTGGTATTGTACATGTATGTCCTGTTTGTTTCACTTAAGAGTATTGCCTCAGTGTGCTGTAAATGTCTCTAGTTTTTCTTTATGGCTGAGTAGTACTCCATTTTATATTTTTTAAAAAAACCCACATCTTCTTTATCTAGTCTCCAGGTGATAGACAAACAGGCTGTTTTCAAACTTTAGCTATTACAAACTGTGACACTATAAACATAGGTGCACATATATCTCTGTGGTATGATACTTTTAATTCTTTTGGGAAGATACCCAGCAGAGGAATAGCTGCTGTTCCTCAGACAAAGGACTACTATCTAGAATATATAAAGAATTTTTAAAAAATCAGACTCGGGCTGGGATTTAGCTTAGTTACATTGCGCCTGCCTTGTAAGTGCAAGGTCCTGAGTTTAATCCCCAGTACTGCAAAAATTCAAAAATGGGCATCTGAAGTGAACAGACATTTCTCAAAGAAGTAAAAACAGCAGATAAACAGATGAAAAAATGTTCAACATCATTGGTTATTTGAGAGATGCAGATGAAAACATTGAGATTCCACCTCACTCCAGAAAGAATGGCTGCTATCAAAAATCAACCAGCGCCGGGCGTGGTGGTGCACGTCTATAATCCCAGCACTCGGGAGGCTGAGGCAGGAGGATCGCTGCAAGTTCGAGACCAGCCTGGGCTACGCAGTGAGTTCCAGAGCAGTCTGAACTACATAGTGAGACCCTGTCTCAAAAAAACCACCCCGAAGAGAAGAAGAAATCAACCAATAACAGATGCTGATGTGGTTATGGGGAGAAAGGGACACTTTTGCATTGTTGGTGGGAATGAAGACTGGTACAACCACTGTGGAAATAAATAAGGAGATATCCTATACTATTTTGATAACTAAAGTTGTTATACGCTCTGTAAGTTCAGCAACATTTCCATATCTTAAAAGCTTGTTGCTTTAAACAGAAAAAACTTTTAGATTTTTATATTATACTTTGCTGTAATTTTTGTAATTAGAAGTACAAATCCCCCAACTTTGTTGTGTTTTGAAATTTTTAAATCTGTTTTGGGTTCTTTGCATTTCCCAGTAATTGTAGGTTTAGATTATCAATTTCTGCAGTGAAGCCTGCTGAGATTTTTATAGGCATAGTGTTAAATTTGTAGATCAATCTTCTAGTTCATAAACATGGGGTATCCTTTATTTAATCCTTCAATTTTTTTTGAGGGGGTACTGTGGATTCACCTGAGGGGCTTACACTTGGTAGGCGAGTGTTCAACCACTGAGCTGCATCCCCAGTCCTCTTCCTTTTAATTTTTTTTTTTTAATTTGGAGACAGGGCCTTACCAAGTTACCCATGCTGTGAGGACTTGAGACCTTCCTACTTTAGCCTCCAGAGTAGCTAGAATTATAAGCATGTGCCATCACACCTATGTCTTTGAACAATGTTTTATAGTTTTCAGTGTATAAGACTTAACCCTTTTTTTTTGTTAAATCTGTCCCTAAGTATTTTGTTGTTCTTGTGATTGAAAGTGAAATTACTTTTTGAATTTTTTTCAGGATTCTTTCTTTTATTGCTAGTATGTAGAACTAATGATTTTATATTGTGCAACTTTATTAATTCTCACAGGTTTTTTTTTTTTTTTTTTTTTTTTTTTGTTAATCTGCTA